ATTAGCAGGTTGACTCTGACAAGGTGCAGCTCAGTGCTCACGCAGTGAGTTGTTTGAAGCTAGACACCTTAGAGTACTGGATAAAGATCTTTAGATTTATTTAACATTTTTCCCCTGTTCTACTACTAAAGGGTGACTGTAACTGAATAATTTAATTTCTCTGTACTCCAGTTTTCCTTCCTGCTTTTTGCTGCTTAAGTAGCTTGAATGTTTTATGTTGCAGTATGTGTGTATAGTGCCTACGACAGACGGTGTGTGACCTTATTGGGGGACTCTAGGTGCTACTTGGGACACAAGCAGCATGAGAAATAAATATCCGGATGGGCTTTCTATGATGCATGTTACTGCAATACTAGATCATCATGTGCATGGATGGATGTATCATTTCAATAGCCTCTGTGAGAAACAGCATTTTGGGGGAAAAAAAAACAAAACACAAAAACCCCTGCAGCCAAAGCAAGAGCAAAGCCATATTTCTAAGTTTCTGCTGATTTGGGGTACCTCACTGACTATATCAACCTGAAGAAATATCTCGGGCCTGCTATTTCAAAGTGCTTGATGTTCTTAAAATTATTTCTCTGGATGTTCCAAAAAGCACAAAATAGATTCAGCACCCCAATTTTATATGTCATGCAACTCGCACAGAAAGAGATGTGTCAGCGTGAGATGAATACTAAAACTGACTATATTCTTTCTTGTAGCCAGCAGCACAAAAAAAGAAAATTAAAAATGGATTTTCTTTCAGTTAGCTATTATAAGAATTGTTTTCATAAAGCTCTGCCCCATCATTTATCAGACCAATTTTTAATCTCTTAAATTAAATCCTCAATTACTATAGATTCACAACCTATAAAAATGGTAGGCATACTCACATTTTTATCTTGTCATTTTTTTTACTGTAAAACCAATCAAAACAAACACTCAGTATAAGCACACTTTGATGTTTTCAAGTTGATGAGCAAATAAAACAAACATGAACAAAAAAAAAAATGCTGAGAAGGAAAAGTGCCTCACTTTTTTTGAGTTTTTTAATCACATTTTTATGAAAGAGAAAAAGTTCCTTAAGCACTGAAGTCTTACCCACCTTATTTTGTTGCTACTGATTGCTTTCAAATATTAATTTAATAAGACTTTGCTCTTACATCAGGCCTGCAATTTAAAATGTGCTTTACAGGAAACAGATCTGACGCATTCCCTGAAGCAAGTAACCAAGTCCATCCAAACTGATTCTCCCATTGATTTCTGAGCTTGTAAATTTGTGTTGGATTGCAGCACTTTGTTTGCTCCTTTGCTCCTGGTTATGACTTCTGACTCTATTACAGTGAATCTGCCTTTCCTCTTTCTCTACCTTTTTTATTGTTTACTCCTCTACCTGTTCTCTCTTTTCCCTATTCTTTCTCTCTCTCTCTGTTCTCTTTTTTGCCTTCTCCCGCCTTCTTCGGTCCAGGAATGTTTTCATCTAACTCGCCTTACTAATTTCTGCTTGATTTCCCCTGCTGCTCTTCTCAGTTTGTTTTTGGTATGAAGCTGCAGGAGGGTTCATAAAACATGCACACACGGAATTAAAGCGCTAGCGCGCTCTGTTAGCACCTAGAAGCTTACCTTCAGCCTTACTTATCACAGAAGAAGCTGTAAATGTGCTAACTAGCTAAAGCTGGAGGCAGAAGCTTGCATTCAGTAAAACTGTTTGACTCTTCCTTTTTAGTAGCTATAGAGTGCCACCTATTGTCTCAGAAGAAATATATGTATTTTTTACATGTTACTGTGAAATTATACTCTGCTGCTTTGCCTCAGTTGCTGTTTTCTGTAGAGAAGAGATTATTTTACTGATTATATTTACTGCAAGAAAGTATCGTTCACATTTGAGTTACATCTCTTTCACTTCTTGCTCTGTCATCGTCATATCTACTTTAATTATTTAGTTCCATTTTTCCTAATGATGCTTCCCAGCTTTGACAAGCAGAGTTGGAGCACCTGTTCTTAGAGCTCCTTTATCATCATGTCAGAAGAGATGGCTATGAATTTATACACCAGATGAGTAAATACGTCTCGTACTCATCTTTAGCCTTATCATAGCTTTTTCTTTGAGTTTAATTAAAGCATTGATACGTAACTTATTTCTACATTACTCATAAGAGCTCGCCTGGTCTGTGACAGGTATAGTAGTCTGTTTAAGTAGGAAACTTTCTTCCTTCTTTAGCTGTCATCATAAGTAGTGTTTTTGTTCATTTTCAGACTAAGCGTACTGTGCAAGCATGAACTACTATTCCAAAAATCTATGAGTTATTTGTTACACTTTGGTGAACTGGCGTATACATTTTATTTCCTGTAGTTTTTACAATACAAACATTGCCAAAGATTATTTCTATCATAATGACAATATCACTTGTGCATTGTTGGATCACCATTTAGATTCCACAAGACCCTCAGAAATCAAACAAATCTGAACATATGGCACTGTTGGTCAGTCTCTCTGTGCAGCCAAATTTTAGTTGTGACCAAATTGACCTGATTAAGCTGAAGACGAAGAGCCAAAAACCACTGTGTTCTAATCACAGTTTCTGACACGTCCGTATTATTGTTTGAGCTTCCTCTAAACGTAATCATCCAAGAACAAAATGTGAATTTTCCTGTCAAAAGGCCAAAATTACAAAACAGTGCTGACAGTATTTTAGGCATAAATTTGCTGACTTGCTCAGACGCAGGGATTAATAACTGGGCCAACTTTTTGTTGAGCTGCACAGCTGAGTATTCAGCAGATACCCAGTTGTATTGACCTAGTTTTGCCCATAGCACTGGCTTTCAACGTTAGGATCTAAGCTGCCTGTTATATGTAGAAATACTCAGTTTCATTTTTAACAAGAACTCTTCTGATTACGTACCAGCAGAGCATGCAGATATATTTGTTTGACTTTACTGTCTCTTTTCCCTCAATACTCCAGCAAATAATAATCGTAGTAGCTCAGCTCTTGCAAAATGTATTTGATCCATAGGCCTGGAAGAAGACGAGCATCACCATATCATTTTGTAGATGAGCAAATTGAAGCTGAAAGAGATGAGTGACTTGCCAAGATCACTCAGCAGCTCATGGGCTAAGCTGGGGAAGGAATCTGCACTTCCAATTCACTGTCCTAATTCTATCCCAACCCCTAGGCCACTCTTCCTAATTAAAAGCCTATGTAGACTTCTTACATCTGGATTATATTGTACATAATCTGCATGTACTTAAGAAGGTGCTAAAAGTGTTGCTACAAGGCAAATCAACTGCGATGATCCAAAAGACAGAAAAAAATAAATCCCTTTATATTCTTGTGGGTTAAAAATACCTCAAAAATATACAAATATATACTTATATGAATATGACTCTTTCTCAGAGCTGTATTTTTTAATGTTATTTTCTGACCATGTAAAGTTCAGAGAAGGTTATAAGATGGAGGGCCATACGAAGTAGGACTAACACTTTCAGGAAGGCTTACAATCTCCTTTTTAAAACATTACCAGAAAAATTTCTTTATTTTTTTCTTTCAAAAATATGAAGCTTAAGTATCAGCAAGTTGAGGTGTCATCTAAGGATCATGATCAGGCTAGAGATATTGTATGAGCATTAGCAATGGGCAAAGCTGAACGAATTCCTACTGATTTTGGAGTTATTCTGTAAAGACTAAGTTCCCATGTGTACAATCATAAAACTAATTAAAAAAAAAAAGACAAAAGAAGTGGAAATACCATTCCTATTGTATAGCACTGTTATCTGGTATATAGGAGATACTGTATCTTTATGCACAAAACATTCTGGAACATGTTTCTTGGGAGCTGTTGTGTGTGTGTGTGTTTATACTTATCCTTTTGCTTGTAAATGCTATTTGAAAAAAATTAAGAATTATAAGAAGATTCTCTGTGTCTGTGAGAAATCACAGCTGAGTTAGATCTACGTGTGCGAGAGTATTTATAGGACTGGGGCTAAGGTTTACACATGTTTGTATAACAGCATGTGCACTCTTCTTCTGGAAAGTAAATTTGTTAGAGGGATTTGAAATTAGGTAAGTACACATAAATATAGCGTGTATTTATGTATATGCTTGTCTGTGCTTCTGTACCCAGCAGAGAGGCAGGTCTGAGGCCTGGTGCATACAGTAAAGAGTGAAAATCAGAATATCTGGGACACTGGCTCAAGTACACTATCTTGATTGCTTAGGAAACTTCTCTCCTCTCTCTGTACATCAGCATTCCCATCAGTAAAATGTGCATTATGAGCTTTACATCCCTTGGGGCATATTTTCAATTTATAGATGGAAAGTGCTATGCAATGGTTATTTATTGCAGCAGTGATTGTTCATTGATTTCGATCATTATGAAGAACTTCTTAAAACAGTAAAATGCAATCAAATATCCCTCAGCCTGGTTCAGTGATAATGCTATTCTGTAACTTTACAAGTGCGAGTTCCTGATGATGTCGAACCAGAGCTTTTTATGAGATTCTCCTTCATTGATCATGTAAATGTTATTTGCTCCAACTGTTGGATTGAATGTGCTTGCCATTTCCTTGCCTGGACTTTTTGAACTTTTTCGTGTTTATTTGTTTGTAAAGTGAGACTAGATCTTAAAAGAAAAAAAGGCACTCTATCAAGATTGATTGTATTTGTGTATTCAGTATTGCTATAAATAAGATTATAAAATATCTTCAGGGTTTTTTGTTGTTGTGTTTGTTGTTGTTGTTTTGTTTTTAAGAAATCCACTGTTTAACTTAGTGAAGACCCCTGCCGTGTGCAGGATTTCATAGAGAAGTTAGGATTCATTCATGAGTTTAAAAAAAGGCTCCTGGTTAATTCCTGTTTTCTCTGGTCTCCAATTAATAGGTTTATATCATTTATTAAATGGTTTCCTTAGGTACTAGCATACTCGCTGGGTCTTAAACAACATGTAGTATGCTGAAGATGCCTTGAGAGGTGCATACACAAAAGTTTTGAATGGATAAACATTATCATTTTGTTTCTATACAGAGAGCCTCGAAAAATCATCCTGCACAAGGGCTCCACAGGACTTGGTTTTAACATTGTGGGAGGCGAAGATGGGGAAGGCATTTTCGTGTCTTTCATCCTAGCAGGCGGGCCTGCCGATCTCAGCGGAGAACTACAGAGAGGAGATCAAATTTTATCCGTAAGTATTTTCCTTTGGTTTTACTAGCCCATTATATAGTCTATATTGCATGGGACACACAAAGAAGGCTTCCTAAAGCCTTTTTGATTTCCATAATGTGCTATTTCGTATTTGAAATGGTAATCCATTTGTTAGTTAAATTCAAGGTGGCAAGAGTTCACCACTGAATATTTTCTTTATTTACTCTTGCTTTTGATAACATTTGTTAATGGTGTTAGCTGCACTTAGCTCAGAATAAGACTCTTCTCTGCTTGGTACTATCATCTGCAGTATGGCAACAACCCAAAGAAGAGGTCAGCAGCTGTGCAGACCTCAGCACCTCCCACTTCACTCCATCATCCATTTCCATTTTGCCTAAAAAGATCCTGCTGAGTTAGAAGATATTTCTCAGCTTTATCTTTTCTTTGAGGAAAAAAAGTGGTAGGATGAAATTATCCAGAGTGTGGGTGCCATCTAGCGTGCACCAAACTGCTTAGCAAGTGACCCGATACAAGAATAATATTAATTAGGTTAATTATCTCTGCTCCTGTAATGAATATGATGATCACTCTGAAATTCATTTTCAAATTTTAGGGGATAAAAAGGCTCTGCAGCCTGAGGTTATATTTTGCATACTTAGTTTCAGAAACATCATTTTAATTTTTCTTTCATGTACATATTGATAGCATGCAATTCAAAAATAGAGCATTTATGTTTTGGGCTATGTGAAGTAATTGAACATCTGATTGAAACAATCTGAATGTAAGGGATTTTTGAATGACAATGAAAGTCTTGAAATTGTAGTTAAGTGTCCTTTCACATGAAGCCGCCTTACAGAATAGAAGGAAACTGTACAAAAATGATACAGCTATGGCTGTTTCATGTGCAGTACATCAATAGCCCTAAGCCAAATAACTGAAACCCATGAATTATTCATCTCAGTTGAGTGAGCTACCCACCAGGATGGCATATCACATGCCTTCCTGCTGTATGGCTTTCTGTCCCCGTGATTCGCACAGTGCTGGCTGCCCATTGGTTTGAAGCAGGGGGAAAAGATGGCTATAGCCTGGGCAGTTTGTGATATGGTCCTGTGGCACTTTCCTGGTAAATGTTCGAATCACTTCAGGAGGACCCTGAATCATGTTTTCCTACATTTGTTATGAGTGTCTTGGCCACTGGCCTATTGTATGAAAAGAGGATTTGTCTTCCACATTTGTCAAATGACGGTAAAAAGTGACTGCTGCTGCTTTGTGGCACATGGAAAATCTGGCAAGTTAGCACCAAAGGAATGCAGTAACCTGAAACTGTGAAGATTAGAGTGATATATTTTATCTGCACCTCCCCCTTGCAAATACAGTGAAAAAATTGAGAAAGGGCAAGTAAGAGATGTTTAGGTGCCTTCAAGATAATCCTAAGTAGAAGGTTCGTAGAAAACTGCAAAAAAACCCACCCAAATAGACTCTTACACGGTTATCAACGTGAAGAAACAAGGCAGACAGATGCTTTTGCCAAAAAGAACACAGATGAGAAACCTGAAGAATAGAAATTGAAATTTCTTTAGGGCATTTATGCAATTTATTTTTTGTTTGGTTAGATGCACTCAAGAGAAGGCTGACTGGAAGATAGCTATGAGATCAAAGCATTCAGGCTTTGGATCGGTCCATTTTCTACCTTTCTGTATTTCCAATCGGCCATAAATAGAGTGCTGCTGTAGTTGAATTTTGAACTCTTGTTTTTTGTCTCTTTCACAGCAATGTTTGTCATAAGGTCTAATTAAACTTGCCAGTGTCCCTGCATCATTTACTTGTCGTGCAAAAGTAGCTTATGTGTTCACTGAGCAGAGTGGGATGGAAATTATTACTAAATTAGGCTGCATGCGTATCCCCAGGCAATCACCAAATCAGGCAATTCTGACTTACTTAGTCAAAAATAACTATTATGAATCCATTTTCCATATTCAAATGAAACAAATGTAATGCTCAAGCTAGTTTTAGAGCCGATTAGTCTTAGACCAGTGTCTGATGAAGGGTCCCAGACACCTGAATTTTATAAGGGCTCCACAGAGTAGGTCTGCTGCTCTCTGGTTATTCCTACTTGTCTCATCCTTCAGAAACATTTACATCCTTACTGAAATAGTTTTTCCATTTGTTTCACAAAAGATTACAAATCTGATTTAGCAAGATCAAATAGTGCCCTCAAAGCCAGTATTTCTAATTAACTTACGGCTGGTTGAGTTTCTTTCAAACTGGAAGTGTAATAAGTGGTTTAGTCTTTGGAGAACTGGATTTATTTCCTGACTTCTCTGTAGTCCTTCAGTGTGACCTTGGGCAAGGTGTCTTACGTTCCTAACATCCAGTCTGCTATGAAGAAGAGGAGGATCACAGCACGTTCCTAATTCCTGTGCTGTGAATATGGGGAAATGTTGATTAATTGGCTGAGAGAAGTGTGTACTCACCTACAAAGAGAGTACCTGTAAAAATACCTTAAATAGACTGCAAATGCATGAGTGTGACCCCATGGAGCTGAGAATATGTGCCTCTCTTGAGTAACCCATTGGGTACATAGACAGAGATCTCTAGAAATGATCCTATCTAGAAAGTGGCTTGGCATCACCCCTACTCCAGGCTGTTGCCTGGGACATGCCAAAGAGCAGGACCACACAAACTAACTGCCCTTCCCACACCCTATGGAGACATCATCCTGTGCTTTATTCTGGTCTGCTTGAAGGAAGAGGATTGCTGATATTTGCTTCTAGCCTTGAGCCTAGAAGCTTGAGCTTGAGCTGCCCAGTAAGAGCTGAACCCACCAGCCCAGGGCCATTTCTTTAGTTCAGGGGAGCAAGTGCTGGTCTAGAAAAGCCACATACAGGGTGTTCCTGTCTTGTTTAGCAAATGGCACCAGCACGACTGAGACTTAGAGGTCCCAAGGGCCACTGCCCCGGTTCATCTGAGGTGCATTATAAATTGTTGCAAGCCTGTTTAGGAGATAACATGTGTTGCCTCGTGGGAGAGTTCCATCAAGTCTGAGGAAACCTGGGTTTCTATTCCTAGTCCCAGCGTCAGACTGAAGGGCTTGAACAAACCCCATAACCCATCTGCCTCAGTTTCTGCCCTTTTTTGAGGGTTATGCAGTGGGGAGGAGTCCAAACGTACAGCCCTCCATGGCCCCTGTGGAAGACTGTATGCCTTAGCTTTGGCCCTGTGTGGACGAGGGGTGAAATTTGAGTTTATTTTTACCAAATGCCACCAGATGGCATCGCAGGATCGGCAGAGATCTGTCTCTGAAAATTGGGTAAGACCTTAGGAATAACAGGGGTAGCCATATTTTTATGTTTTCGTGTAATTGACTGAATATATTTAAAACTTATCTCAGAAAGCAGAGCAATATTCAAAATGCTTTTCTGCAGAAAGGCAAAATGAATCATAGCTGAACCTTGAAGGAAAATTGAAGAATAATGGAAAATGTTGTTGGTTTCAAATGACAAAATGTGTCAAATAGCAAAAAATTAATTAAAGTATAGTGCTATACTTATGATAAACTGTTTTCTTCCCCCCCCCCGGAAGTGGGACTTTTTTAATGCTGGTTTCTTCTTGCTGTAATTCATTATGCTCTTGTCGTTAACTACTGAACTAAAAAAAAATTCCTTCTTGGTTCTGTGTCTTTAAAATATAGTAACGTAAATGTCAGCAATATATGGTCTTCAGTATGACAGAATATATCCTTTCCTCTCATCTTGTCACATTATTGATTCTAATCTATACATTATTAAATAGCATTTTGAATACTAATTGACATATAACAGTAGAAATGAGGTGCAATTATATTGGCTGATTTATTCAAAATCATGCAAGAAGTCTGGGCCAAGACTAGACTTAGAGGCTGCTTGAACTCTGATCTAACCCTAAGTTCTCCTGTTAGAGAAATGCAGTCTCTAGTACAAATAAAATGTTATGTTCCTTGATGCCATCCTTGCACTTTGAAATCCTACTTCCCATGCTAAAGGTCATATTGCCTATTAAAATTAGCAATGGGAGCTCGGTGTTATTTAATGAAAATCACTTGCCTGTGCACAACTATTTTCGAAGCACTGTTAGGCCACGTTGTGCATACATCCTTGCTGACAGGCAGCAGCACAGGTCTTATATTTTTAGAAAAGAGATGCATAGTGACTATAGTGCAATTTTTTAGGGCATAGTCCTAGGGGGGAAAATACACTCCTATTCGAACAAAAGGTGCCATATCAAGGACTTGTCCTATTTTTGCCTTATAATCTCAAATTAAAATTATGATACAACAATCTAGGTGTCTTAACCTGTGTACTTCGAAGCGCTTTCAATACCAGGTAGGCAAATTTATCCATAGGTATAATACCTAAAGCACAGAGAGTTTGTTTACACACCCAAGTTCAGCAGGAGAATTCAGATTCACTGTTTGAAGTCTTGATGCACAACCAATTAGTGTATATTGCTCCTTGAATTGCTGTGGTGACGTGTTTCTCACACAGTTTTATACTTATGCACCAGATTACATAAAATTTAAAACATATATAAATCAGTAATAGCTTGTGATCAGATAATTAAACAATAGAAAGAATTAAGGTGAATTAACAACTGTAAGGAGGCAATACCAAGTATTAGCACTTAAACTCTAAGTTCTGGAATAACTGAATTTTGTGTCTCTGGACAGGACTGAGCCCTAGATTAAGATACTTACATGAAGGTGTCTACCTGTTACCAGGTGTCTAATTCTAATTACAGTCAATGAAAGCTAGAGATTGATTTAGCTTGCCAGCAACAAGGTGTCTACAGTGAGCTGAATTGCTCGGTAGGCGTCGTTGACTCTATTAATTGGGTGTCCATTGACTTTAAACTTAAACACTTTTCATGCATGTGCCTGCCTATAATTGGGAGTCGTATACTCAGACTGAATCTCATCTGTATTTGCTCTTATAATAGATGTTTGATTCTTCAGCTACTATTACTTTTGCTTGATCACAGAGAAATGCAAAATAAAATCGTGCA